TAATACTAAAATTAATGCCCAACTTACTTGCTTTGGAAACGTAAATGAATGTAAATGACAATGATTCCTCGGTATAAAACTGTATTATTGTTTAATAATATATATTCAATTCCTATTTCCTATCAAGCTTTTATATTCAGAATTCACTGCCTCTCATTAACACTAACACTAAGTATTGCAAGCAGATTGTAATTTTTCCGCTGAAGGGAGCAATATTTTCAATATTTGTTCCCAGACAGCATCCCGCCCCCCTGGTAAACGGAATCTTCCTTCCCATCATCGCGGTAATTCCTCTGGGGGGGGGGGGGGGGGGGGGGGGTCTACGCAGTCTATAAGTCAGAATCATTGGATTCCGCAAACGCAATATGGCGGGCAGGGCGCTTATATATAAGCGCCCTGATGGCGGGATATGCATCGACATTTTAAAGTTTATTATGATATTAAAATGAGATTGAAAAAGACTTGTCACTACAGATTGTTTCTACTAAATTTAATGTTGGTCACAGACAGGCAAGCACGGTATGTTTACTACAATATTCACGTTTAACTTTGCTTTTACTGTAAATCTATATTTTCACGAATTTTGTGAATGTGATTGTGTATTAAAATATTTCACCTAAAATTCTGCGCGTATCGTTGGTTCAGTAGCTCTGTTGCCGGTTGTATATGAGAACAGTTCAACGAATAAGTTTGCAGTTTGAGCTGTTGATATCACAGAGACCTTTATACTATAAGTATAACAGTATTTTAGTAAAATTTGATAGTCATGTGATAGCTGCATAAAAGCTAAGCAAGTACTTTTGATGTTTTGATATCATTGTATAGTTGAAATAGAATAGATAAGTGATCTATATATTAGTATATATGGGAATATTAATTTTCAACCATACTTGGCAGTTTGGGGTCTGTTATTATGTTCAATTATTTTCACTGTGATTTATTAAATACTGGGTATTACTGTATACAGTATGCCTGCTAAGGCCTGCTTTATACTGTATTAAAGTAGAGTAGTTGGTGGAATTATTTGATCAATACAGCTTTATGGCATTACAGAGAATGTAGTAAATTAAAAATATGATAACATTTCAGATATAATCAGGCTTACACACTTGTATGTTGATGTCAGTTGCAATGCCAAACTCATAGAATATATAAGTGAGTATTGTGAGTCTAAAGAATTTTGATTGACAGTATTTGTGTTTTACTGACGTGAAACTGTGCCGGTTTTTATTGCAAAATAGGGCGAGTTTAGGCGAGTTAAGCAAAATTCAGTCAACTTCTCATTGCGAGATAAGGCGAGATTGGGCGAGTTAAGCAAAATTTGATCAATTTCTATTGCGAGATAGGGCGAGTTAGGGCGAGTTAAGGCGAGATAAGGTCCAAGAGTAGGCCTTTTGTAATTAGTTCTTGAAGGACTAAAGTATTGAGTAAAAAGATTTTTGACATTTCGCTTGAGATACAGCATGAATTAGGGAAAGACAATACATCACAAAACTATTTGGTCCAAATTAAATCTTTGTACATTTTGTATAGACCAGCATTTGCTTCGGTTCAACCATTCAGCATACATTTCTCACATGCGTCGTTTATACATCGTTGATTTTAAGAAACGTACAGCGCTAAAGTCAAATAAAGATTGTGATACGAATATATTTGCTCATAACACGATTTATATAAACACCACATAAAAAGAAAGTTCCCCCCTAAATATATCATCATAAATTCTAAATAAATGATTACCTGATAATCAAACCTAGCACTAATTGGACCTACGGTAGTGTACTTTATGATGTGTGAAGAATGGTGTCATTCATGCTTTAAAGAATGACATAGCCTCAATTGAATACAAAAATACCCAATTTCAAAATTAACAGGAATGACTTTATTTAAATTTCACAACGACAGTAATAATGTTTCGTCAATGATTTAATAATGGATGTAACCACCACCACGCTTCTCTGTCACCTCAAGGGCTCGTCTGCTCACCCGCCGCTGAGATATAGCCACCCATTTTTCCTGCAACAATTGAGCCAATTAGTCAGCCGGAGTGCTGTATTCTTCGAACCGACGATAGACAGATTGCTTTTGCTGGTCTCAAAAACTCAATTGAGTTGAGATCTTGCGAGTTCCCAGGTCACATCATTCTCTTTCTCAAAAGATGATGCTTTGAAGTTATCAAGAAGTGTGGTGGTTACACCCATTATTAAACATTGATGAAACAATTTACTGCTGTTGCGAAATTTACTGAAATAAAGTGATTCTTGTTAATTTTGAAATTGGGTATTTTTGTATTCAGTGGTGGCTAAACCATTCTTTAAAGCACGAATGGCCCCATTCTTCATACAGCATTAAATAAACCACCATCGGTCTAATTAATGCTAGGTTTGATTATCAGGTAATCATTTACTAAGAACTTATGAAGATATATTTTGGGGAGAACTTTCTTTTTGTGCCGTTTTATAAACCATGCAAACGCTGAAGCGGGTAGGTTTGTTTGGTTGTTCATTTAAAAGAATTGAATCACAGGCTAACCAGGCTCTGGATATGTTTAAAAGTCATCAATATTACGGGCTATGTTCGGTTGCTGAGTGAGGGCTAAACAACGAAAACCGAATAAAGTCAACTTATTTTGTTGCTTTTTCTTTGATTGTATACGCAGCATTGGGTTTGTTTACTCCTGTCAGTAACTAAAATGTATTTAATCATTCTATATACCTACTTATACGCATAAAATATCATAATTGAACACCCCATATACTGGAGATTTTGAGGTCATGTGACCGGCCGATGCCAGGGGCATTGGAAGCAAAATGCCCTGGGTAGGAGGTTGGTTATTATAATTTCTATGCAACTGACAACATTAGTCATTTGCAAACAAATTCTTAAATAATTAATTGATAATGTCATCATTCATGAAAACAGCTAAAAATTACAAAATCTGTGGTGAAGCTAGTCATAGCAAGTTAGCAACTGATACTGTGAATATTTAGGAAACAATGCAGTTCTATACACACTATGCATAATGCCTCAAATTCTACAATTTGGCATCTGGCTACCAGCCTCATTTTGATGCAACTCGTTTCCAGGTCCCGAGTTATTGTGCATATCATGTATGTATTGAAGAATATAGAATAAAACACTTTTCTAGGCCTGCTACTTCAAGTACTGCATACTTGCTATGCATAATGCGCAAACAATGCAAAATACATAGTGTGTATACAATAACCAGATTTTTCCTTAACTCGCCCTATCTTGCCTTAACTCGCAAGGGTCAGTAGCCAGATTTTTCCTTAACTCGCCCTATCTCGCCTTAACTCGCATAGGATCGCCTTATCTCGCAGCGAGTTAAGGTCCCAGAGTAGGCCTTATATTCTTGAACATTTAGGACATTAGCAAGATTATTCGCCTCAGTTTTGAATGTCTATATAACCTTTTCAAGGCGTGTTCTGCACTTAAATAGCTCACGAAAGGGGTGGAGGGGATCCTGGGGATATTGTTCCCAGTTTGAAATTTAGAGTCCTTAGAGTAGAAATTCCTGTATTCTGGGAGAATATTTAACTGTGGTTTCTATGCATATTCAGTTACTTTATGCTTATTTGGGGGAGTTAGCTGGGGCCAAGAGGCAAACTGTCCCTTTTTTGCCCCCTCTGGACGGCCCTGCAACTAGGACTTTCAATTTCTCTAACCTCATCACCAACCCTAACTTTCGACATAGCCCCTGAGACCATATCTCGCAAGTTCGCGACCCCTACCCTAAGTTCAATTTTGGGAACAACCTAGACCAAAAATAATCAAAATAAATTTTGGCTCGGCCATTCAGCTGGGTGGGTGGAGGTTAAGGAAGCGCAACTGAGGGCGCTTTCCATTAACGCGGTCAGAACGGTCAAATTGTTGAATGGGACACAAAACGTTTGGGCTTAAACTTATCTGACCTGAAAATTTAGCCAAAATTAGAATGAGGTTCATTTTCGCTAGATATTTTAGAAACATAGACCAGATCTTTCCATTGATACAGAGACAAAAATTCGGGTGGGACCGGTCAGGCCATTAAATGGAAAGCGCCCTGAGTTGTAGTCTGGACCAGCTATATATCTCCAAGATTGTGTATAGTATGCTTCAGCTTAATCATGCAGAAAAGATATTTGCCAAATGTCAGCTAACCATCATGGTGTTTCTGGAGTAATAATATTTTAAAATTACTTTGATTTCTGCTCTCATTAATTAAAATATCCACTTTATATGCACTAATTTTATTTTCGTCTTGTTTCGGTTTTTTCTCAACAGCATGAGGTACATTTACAGCGTAGTCCACATACAAGAACGTCATCGGGGTGTTCTTACTTCACAGATGAGCCAGGAAAAAAGCAGTGCTAGCACAGTAAAACAGACCAAAATCTGAAAGGAAAATACTGCTTTAAATCATAGCAGTTGATGTTCATGTTGACTATTATAATGAAACGTATCGTTGAGCCAGGGAGATAAACTTAACTATGGACTGTAAAGGCTCTTTTCCACTCATCGCAAAAACGAACTCGCAAGCACTCTGCGAGCACTTTCATCCAATCACAATGCTCGAAAGTATATTTTAATTAGATGCAATCACTCCCAGCGAGCTTACGAGTTGGTTTTGCGATGAGTGGAAAAGAGCCTTATAAAGACCGTTACATTTCTCATTGCTTCAATTGAGCGCAGCTTTCATTCCCGGGCGAAAGACAACTACTGCGGAATAGAACAATTATTATCGATATGCACAGACATCTAATCGAAGAAAAAATGTAAATGGTTCTAAGCGTCAGTAAATATACCGGCAGGAGCCAATTGCGGAGTATTGCGTAGCCGTCAGCAAAGGCGGGAACGTAAAGTTTTAAGAGCCGGCGTAGCATAACTATCGGCGCATATTCCTGTTTCTGTAGCATGAATGAATGGGATGTTTGTCCATGGCAGATTGGAAAGTAGCCTCACGCCCATGCAGTTGGACAGGTTTCCCTGAAAGTTTGCTGTATCCATGAATACCTCTGGGTGAAGCGAGCAATCCTGTAAGTAATTTAGTTCGGTTACAAGTCATAAAATTACAAGCAATCGTTGCTTTTTTAATCAGTAAATAAAACAGTAACTAGTTACATTTTGATAAGAGGTAACTGTAACTGGTTACATTTTAGCTTAAATGGAACGAGAACGCGTTACATTTTCAATCGTTACGTTTTCACTTTAAAATACTGTATAGTACTTGTACTTTGTATATAGTATCAACGTTTATTATCTTAGTGTGGTTGATAAACTGATCCACTGTACAATAACTCCCCTCTAATTTTCCGGCTTGCAGTTGGGTTATCTTTTTCTACAGTAATTTCATTAAGTTATAAAACCTGCAGATGTAACTTTAAATTCAACAAGTTACGAAGAATTGAAAGTGTAAGTTTTTAGTAGTCACAAAATTCGTGAAGAAACTTTGTAAAACTGTAACTAGTTACAATTTTTATGTATAACTTTTAGTGGTAACTAATTCCATTTTCGAGCATGTGTAGGTGAAGGTGTAGGTGTAGGTGTAGGTGTTGATGTAGGTGTAGGTGTTGATGTAGGTGTTTAGGTGTAGTGTAACTACAGGGTGTATAAAAAAAAACGGAGTCCAACTTTTGTGCTTAATAACTGTCGGACTACTACTTCTAATAAAACGGTTTTAGGCTTATTTTAAAGCCTGTTCATTTATCTTTCGACCAAATGGTGATCCGTATCTTTAGTGCAAGTAATAAATGCACAGGAGAAAATTTAGTAAAATCTATCATGTTTAGATGCCGCTTAATTATACAAATTTACTGTGTTATTCCATAGTCGGTAGCAATGTTTGAATTTTCTTGTTCAAACTTTAATGTTCTTGTTGCCACATCGGAAAAACTAGTAAGAACTTGTTAAAAACATTCTAAAAGAGATTAGGTAGATTTATTTATTTCAAAATCCTATATTATTTCCAGAAATCGTCAAAACAACGTCCATGCATCGTCCGAACGAGCACCATCGAATCGGACCGCAATGTAAATATAAATTAGCAAGTTGACAGCAAGCTAAAACACGCTTCAGCCGGTATTATAACGCATTTGGTCAGCAAGTAAATTTAAAATAGTGTATTAGAAGCCATTATTACTTGATTTTTACAAGCAATTGCCAAAATGCCTCAATTTGCTCGTTTTGTTGACAAAATAAGTTATTTTCATCAAGTACCGGTTTGTTATTGCATCTCAAATTTTTGACTCTCCAATCGCAATCACTTAAAATATTATTATTCACGAACTTCTGGATTATATTTACGAAACAACCCACCGTTGAAAGGCTGTATGTCTACGCTTTAAAATAAATGTAAACCTGAACGTTTTGCTTTAATATTCGCTTCGAAATTTATATTTGAAGCGAGGACTCCGTTTTTTATGATACACCCTGTATAGTTCCAAAAAATCAATAGCTCAGTACAGCACCTGCCTCCTCCGCAGGCCCTCGTTGCGTCATGGGAAGGTCACACACAATCTGGCGAGGGCCTGCGGAATCTTGTAAAAAAATGGCGCCGGCGTCACGTCAGCAAGTTAATTTATACATAATCTTGAATATAAACAGGCTATAAAAAGGCGGGGTGAAACTTGTAAATTAAAATGGCGACTCTAAGGACGGAATTTTTTAACGATAAGGTTTGTTGTCCACACTAACGTTGCACGAATAAAACTGCCTTCTTTAACGAAGCAGGTTTAGAACAACATTTATTCATTTTACAAGATTCCGCAGGCCCTCTCGAAATCGTGACCTTCCCATGACACAACGAGGGCCTGCGGAGGAGGCAGTTACAGTACTGGGAGAAAGGCGTTGTGTGAGTAATGTCTTGCGGCCCAAGAAAGACCACAGCAGAATCATACGGTCAGTGTTGGAATCCTAATTATTGGGCAGCCGGTTTCCCACCAAGGAAAGGACCAATATATTGGCGGGAATTGGAGCACTTTGCAACTGCTGGAAAACGCTAGAAATCTAGAGAAAGGATGAAGCTTGAACAAGAACTAATGTTGATGCATGTAATGCTTTACTTGAACGAGAAAAAATTGAAAACACTCCTGCGCAAACGCCATATGGGGTAAAAGAGTACAATGGAAGACGATATATGCTTACCACAGGACGAGCATATGGACTGACTGAATCTAATCCAAACAACTGCTACTCAGTTTAACATTTCATTAAAATTAAAATTAAAACATGCTGAATTAAAAATTTCCTCAATTCTCAACAAAACCTTTATTAACTTTATCATAACTTTATTAATTAACTTTTTTTTTAATTAACTCGTCTCTCGTTTAACATACTACTTTTTATGATCACTCGCTAGGATGTTTTCATTAGTATATTAAACAATTTCCTCAGACGGAAATAATCGCTTTTCTCCCTTTAATATCTCTTGAATGTATTTTTGTTGAACTTGCATTGGTGCCTCTGCATGTAAATTTAACTTGATGCCTTTGCATGATCGTTTTCGACATATAAAGGCTACAAACCAATTCTTGCGTTTGGATTTGCATAAACTTGCTGTGGTTATTTCAGGAAAGTTGAAATTATTGACAACACAAGAAAATACAAATTCTGAGGAACTTAAGTAGTTAAGATATACCAAGACCTAAATACCTTCTAATCTTTTCTGTTCTTTATATTCATCTTCTAACGCGCAATCGTAACGATTTAAATGTCTTGCAGTGTCGCCACTAAATATTACCTGGGGGGTTTAATTTGAATTTTAATTTAGTTGACGGCAACGACAAATGCAATGTATAACTTTTTAACCTGGGGCCGGTTGTATAAAAACGTAGTTAGCGCTAACTGCAGTTAAAAAGTAGTTAAAAAGCCTTAAAAAATAGTTAACTTTAATCGCGTAGTTAAGCCGGTTGTATAAAAGTGTAGTTAGCCTTAACTGCAGTTAAAAAGTAGTTAAAGTTAACTATGCTTTAGGGTATAGTTAACTGTCCAAAACGTAGTTAAAAATGGCGTTTGTATAGGAGTGAACAACAATGTTGTTTTCAGTAAAACAACAATGAAAAGCAACGGTTACCTGAGATTTTCAATCGCTATCTTCCATGTGAATGTTTCCTGACAATATAAACTCTTCAAACGCTATCACTTTGGTGTTTTTTACGAAAACAGAACATATTTTTGCACAGGACGATTTCTCGAAGACGAAGTATGGTCCATTACACCAAGAAACACTGATATTTAATTGCCAAACAGCTATGCCTTGGTTTAACGTAGACATCTCAAGGAAAAACTGCATTCTTTTATGATTTTTGTGGCGGTTTTTCCTTGTTTTCTTGTTTATTTTTCACTGTTTTCTAGTGTTTTGAATAAAATTCCCGCCTATTTGCAAAATACGAGTCCACAATCATGTTGAAAATGTCTGTCAGCGGTCGTTACTCGCTGCTTACTTTATGTAATTTGGTGTTTAAACGCCCCACGCAAGCCCCACGCACAGTTAACTACGTGATTAGTTAACTATCCGACTAACTACGTTTTGTGCAACGCAGTTAAGTCATGTAGTTAACTAATTACAGTTAAGGATTTAACTACAGTGATTAACGCTAACTACAGTTAGCGCTAATTACGTTTTTATACAACCGGCCCCTGAAGATTTATTTGAGATTACCGAGGGTCGAAGGTAAAAAGTCGAGGGTCATATATAAATGGGGAGGGGCATATATAACAACTAAGTCGAGGGTCATGTATAAAGGTTGAGGGTCATATATAAAAAGTCAAGGGTCGTATTTTGAAAATATTTTATGTCGACGGTAGAAATTCGGGGGTGAAAAGCTTGAGGGGACCTTACATTTTAGTAATTTAACAAAATAATTATTTTAAGTCGTGTTAATTTATTTACTTTTAATTTGTAGTTTCCAATCTTTTAGTAATAATTTAATATTTCATATGATAAACTCTTTTTTACATGTAGGTTAAAAGCCAAGGGAGAGATTTTTATTTAACTGTGAAGGCCGAAGGCCCGAGGTCTTCACAGTTTAATAAAAATCGATACCGTTAATCCATTAATAACCGTTGATCCAGCTAGTCCTCGTGCGCCGAATGATAGATACTCTTACCTAATGGTAGAGTTTTGGCGGGCTCTGAGGTACACAGCTGTTGTCTCTTTCTCGACTTAGAGACGTGCAACGTTTTCTAGTCGAAAAGGAGATGTGGGTCTTGAGTTTTCCTGCAAATTCAAGTCCCGAATTCAAGACTAGTCCATGCCAGGTCTTGAATTGAAAATGTAAAACCAGGTGGTTATTATTTTTTCGTAATAACCGGGTTGCAGGTTATTACGGAAAAATAATAACCTGGTAGCAGGTTATTACGGAAAAATAATAACCTGGTAGCAGACTAGCAGGTTATTATTTTTCCGTAATAACCTGCTATCCCGGTTATTATTTTTCCGTAATAACCTGCTACCCGGTTATTATTTTTCCGTAATAACCTTCAACCCCGTATTTCCCCCGCAGAAATCAAATACCACCGCCTGCTTTTAGATTGAAGGTTATTACGGAGG